CGGGCCCTGCCCATGGGTGCTGCTGGGGGTTGGAATATGTGACCACTCAGACATTGGAGACGCTGGCACAGAACCCCTGCTGCTGCTCAAAATCAGAAGCCAAGCAACAGTCCGACTCCGTCTTCAAGTGAACTCGGTTCATCTCACAGACATGAAGATAGTTCTCAGCTCCTTTCCCTGTCAAGGGGACTGGAGAAGGCCAGAGCAGTACCAGGGGAAACCACAGTGGGACTCCAGCTGAGGTCACCCGACCCTGAACAACTCCACACAGTCTGGCAGACAGAAAGGAAGAGGGAGAGCAAGAGAGAGCATGGCCTGGAAAGAGGCCCGAAGTGAGCCTGCCTTCTCCCAAGGTGAAAGGGTCCAGCAGAGACGAGGAAGCATCTGGTGGTGCAGCCACCCTTGGGGCCCCCCGAGAAGGTGACCACAGCCATGAGTCAGCCCAGGAGACGGGATCTGCACAGTCTCAGAGTGTTCCTTTCAAAGCCCAGGTCCCAGCTCCGTGGACCCTCCAATGCCTCTAGCTGAGGAAAATCTATCAGGCCCTGCTTCACATTGGGGCACAGAAAATTCTGAAGGAGAAGCCAGCAGTTAGAGTGCTCTGTGAGCTGAAGAGGGTGCTAGGGCAGATGGAGAAGTTGAGGCAGGGAGGAGGCGTCTCGACAGCAGTGCTGCAGCAGGCCCAGGCCAAAAGGGGGCCCGTGGAGCCTCAGGGGAAGAAGGCAAAGGGAGGGAGCACAGGAAGTCTGGGTAAGAACCCACGGGCACGGCCTCCCTGTGCACAGAATGCCGGCTTCCCAGGCTGGAGAGTGAGAAGCTAATCCAGAGACAGAGCACGGAGAGAAGCTCTGGGGTCTGGGGACCTGGCTGGAAACCTCACAGAGGCCAAGAAAGAATTCCCTCCTCCCCGAGCCTGTGCCTTTGAGCCCTCTCAGGGCTCACTCCTCTTCACCTGTCATCCCTCCCCAACACACGGGAACAAGCTGGCATGGCCTCAGAAACAGACAGGAAAGCAGTAGGAGCCAATCTGCATGTGGAGGAAGCCTGTGGAGAAATAAATTGACAGGAGGAGCAAGAGGCCTCCATGACGATGCTGGCTGTGAGAGGCAACAGGCCCGCAGCTCGGTCTGTTTCTGACCCAGCCAGAGCTGGATGCCAGACTCATTTCCCTCTTCCGTTTGTCTGTCCCCCAGCATAGCCCCCACCACGTGCCCGTTCTCCAGCATGTGCCATCATCTAAGGTGCACCCCGACTCCAGGGGCTCTCTGCCTGATGAGGACCACAACCAGAGGGCCCCCCCCCGTAACATGGCCATCAAGGCTGCTCATAGTCAAAACCAGCCCACCCCTCCAGCCTGGCTATGCTACACTACACTATACTATACTACACTGACCTCCTTATTCCCCACAGACCACTCATGCCCCACACTCGCCCCTCCTCCAGGCCCCACAGCCCCGGCAAACCCTTAGACAGCACGTGTGATCCAGAAGTTCAAAGCTGCACGGATCTGGGCTAGCATCTCGGCACTGCCACTTGCTGGCAGTGACTCCGCCCTCTGGGCCTCACAGCCCCAGCTGAGACTCGACCCAACAACACACCCAGGGCCGTGAGCCAGCTCCTTGCCCAGCACGCGGTCCGCATCCGGGAAGCGGGGGATCTCCTCCCCTGTGCTCCTGCAGCACCTACAGGCCTCACCATAGCGCGTACCACTGGGCTACTCTATTGTTTTCATTGCTTTGCTTTGTGTGCTTGTTTTCCCAGCTGGACCATCAGGTTCCTTCAGACACGTGCATTATTTGCTTTTCTGACTTCAGATCCATTCATTCGTGGTAGCAAAGGCACAAGACCTACTACATTCCAAAAGAGAGTCAGCCACCTACAGTCCCCCTTAGATAACCTCCGAAATGTTCTGGCCGACCCCCTTGAACCTCTCGTGCAGAGAGGTTTTCTTTTTTGAAAATTAAGTTCATGTCACACATGGATTTTTGTGTCTTGATTTTTTCACTCAACACTCCAAGGTGAATGTTTCTCTGTATCAGACATTCTTCAAAAATGTTTTTTTAACATCTACCTAACACTCTGGCATGTGGAGCACCATCACTGACTCAACTGCCACCCTAGGAAGAGAGATCAGGTTCAGTCCCCAGACAGGGAGACCGGCACTCGCTGACCACCAACCACCTTCCTGCAGTGTTGATCAAATGCATTTCCTCCCTTCTCCTAGGCAAGCCCATTTCCCGTGGACAAGACTCAGGGTGAAAAACGGAACTGGCTGTGATGTGTGAGTCAGTGTGGTGGGCCGGCCAGCAGAGGCAGGAGCCCAACTCCTGGGCCCTGTCTTCCCGGGACTGGTGTCGGCCGGATCAGCCGAGGGAACACCAAGCAGCCCCCCCCTGCCTTGCCGCTGACCCCTCCAGATCAAAGATGCTCTTTGCCCATAGGCATGGGAGGGTGAATAAAGTTTAAAGTGCAATGCTTGTCCAGCTCAGTCACCACATCACAGGGGAACAGCCCAGAGTAAGAAGACGCTGGACCTACACAAGACAAGACCCAGGAGGGCATGACAGAAAGTGGCCAATTTTCTAAGGGGCCGAAGTGTGTTCTCTGTGGCTCAAAAGGTAAACCTGGGGCCAGGGGACAGAAACCACAAGGAAAAAGATTTTGGCTCAGCCTGAGCGACACAAAGAAAAACCGGCTGTTACTTTGCAAGGTGGTGAATCCTCCAACACTGGAGAGCATCCAAGATTATCCAAGATTATGGGGCCAAGATTATCTGGAAGGGCTTGAGGCATAGCTGATGAGACCACATGATGGTGAAGGCCCTCCCACCCTGATGGGGGCTGTAGGAGCCCATCACAGGGACATACTCTAGCAGCAGCCTGCCTGTGAAACATTCTTCGTGTCCATATGCTCCCTCTACAACTAGAGCCTGGCTCCCAGGGACACACTTGCGCATCTTGAAGAAGAGTCTCGTAGGCTTTTCAGAACCAAGAAAAACATGTGTAACCTACTGAAAACCCAATTACATGGACAGATAGCACAGCTAGCGAGATGGAAATTATACCATATGCAGCGAGAGAATGTTTTTAAATAAAAATGCCCCCCTTCTTGTGTGTTTTTGCCTTTTTCCTGGTTGCTAAAACAATTAGCCTTAGAGTCCATCTGGCAATTTACATGCAATTACCCAGGATGCTTTGCATGGGTACTCGGGCCACTCCAGGTATCAGAAGAAACATGCTCAACTGAGGTGTAACCAGCATTCCTTCCCGCACAGACTCCGCCCGCCAGCACCCAGCCGGAAACGGGAGAGCGGCCACAGGGAACAGCTCGTCCCCAGGGAAACAGGAGGGGCCTAGAAGGCTCCTAGAAAGACTGAGCTCCCGGCCTCCCTTGGTGAGTGTCCTTCCATGAAAGAAAGAAAAGAGACACATTCTAATAGAGCCCTGCATCCTGTGTGGATGTTTGGCTCAGGGCCAGATTTACCAAGTTGCCCGCCCAGCTACTTTCTGGACGTAAGCATGGGGAGAGGCAGGCAAGTGGTTTTAAAGGAGTCTTTAAATGTTGTTTGAGGGCTGGGAACCTCACCCTTTCCAAAGTCAGCAGAAGGAGGGGCAAGACGTCAAGAGCTCAGTCTCTAAAATACTGAAGCACAGGGAGGGGGACATTGTGAAGTCCACAGCCTCCCCCCACCCCGCCCTTGCCTATCTGACAGCTGGTCTGGTGAAGGGGCTGTGCTGGGAGACGGAGGGTCCCTCACCACTCAGCACCAGGGGCCAACTACCCCAACTCACTGGCTGAACCACCACCTCTATCCTGGGTTTGCTGCCCTTCCCCCAGGACCATGGGGAGTCAGGGATTAGGTTATAAGAACCATAAAAAAAAAAAAAAAAAAGAACCATAAATATACCTAGTTCAACTTAAAAAAAACAAACTGCTATTTAAAATAACTGGCCCTAAACTGGCTTTGGAAGGGTGGTTTGCTACAGACTTTACTGTTTGCCCTGGAGATGGAGACTGTCCTAGTGAGGGTTCCTCCCGGCAGCCCCAGGCTTGCTCCCTGGGCAAGCTGCTATTCAGAAAGCACCAAATGCAAGCCCATCAGTGGGAAACCCATAGGACCCATACTGGAGCTAGAAGCTCTGGGCTGACTGACCCTGACCCCTTTCCTTTACCATATCCTGGAGAGCTTCCAGGAGAGGAAGGCTCATGGGTACCCTGCCTGAGCTACTTTCTGGGCGGACAGAAGGAGCACTGGATCCCAACCCCAGGTCCCAGCCAGGCCCGGACTCCACAGGCAGCCTGAGGAGAGACACCTAGATTTTTCTTTTTCTTTGACACCTTGCATTATGTAAGAAGACAGTACAAATGATACCTCAGAAGAGTAACTGATTCCTCAGACTGCCACTTCAGCCTCTCCTCTGGGCCATGCCTGAGGTTAGGACTCCCTGAGGCTGCACGGCCACATTCCCCACCCCGGATGCCGGGCCAGGGATGTACAGGGGAGAGGCCTTTCTGCTGGCCAAGGCTCCTTGCTTCAGTGACTACCTGCTTCACAGCAGCATTCTAGGGAATAAAGGAAACTTCTGGTATCCAACAGAGACGGAACAGGGAGACACCACAGGGAACCTAGCTGTCCCATCCACCAAAACTCTTGGTGTCTGACCCAGAACGAAAGGGCCTTGAGGCCTCACCACACAACACATGGTCTGAGGCCTGAGAGGGGGACCAGCGAGGGGCAAAGGTCTGAGCGCAGGGACCCAGCCTCTCGGGAAAAGGACCTGCAAACAGCTCTCCCGACAGAACTATTTCTGGGAGCAGAATTTAGAAAGAAGGTGCACGACGCTCGGCAGACTTCCTAGATGTCTAAGTCACTGCACCCGGCACTTCGCTGGCACGCAGGTCTACATACCGTTTCACACTCCAGCGGGGGCCACAGGAGAGCAGAGCAGCCCGGTTCCGCGGGGCTGCAGCCCTCCCCCAGGAGGCCTCTGGGCACTTACCAGGAAGCGGACATCGTCAAAGCCATTCAGAAGCAACCTGCTCTCATACTGCTGCAGCCCAACGGCCTCCAGCCACTCCCCGACGCTCTGCTCCAGCGTCCGCGAACCTGACGAGAGAGGAATCGGCAGACGCTTGAAAAGGGAAAAACCATTAAGGCGGTAGCAGCGGCACTCAGAGGAAGACAGATGGCACTGCCACATCATAGTCATTACCATAGGGCAGCCAGACTATGTACAAGAGACCAGAGAGCGGAGGACCTGCAGCTCCTCTTCCAGGTGCAGGTCAAGGGCAGGACGGCCCGGGCTGCTCACACACACACACACACCCGCCCCCCTACCCCCCCAGTCTGAGCGGCTCCGGGGCAGCGGTGGCACATGCACGGTCGCCGCGCACAGGTCGGGGCAGTTCCTCGTCAGCGTTCGCACTGAGGTATTTCAGGAAGTCTGTTCCCACAGGCACTAGAGGGGCTGGGGGGCTTCTCTCATCCATGCAACTTCAGGAGCCCCCGCGGGGCCTCAGGCGAGGGGCAAGTCCTGCGACCTTGCAGCACACACCAGTCGGGAGAGCGCACGCCTCTTCATGCAGCGGAGGGACACAGGCACACAGCGAGGGCTCCGGGAAGGAAGCGGCGGCGACTGGTCACAGGGACCCGGCACATGCAACGCAAGCAGCACAGAACCCGGCAGGGGGAGAAAAGAGACTTTTACTTGTTTTCCCCCAGCAGTCCCGGAATAAGCAAACCATGGCCACCGGCCCTTTGTGCTCAGAGGCTCAAGGCAGAGGGGCCGAGGGTGCAGAGCCTGGGCGGCTGCCCAGGAAACAAGCTCAGGTGTGGCTCGGCTGTGACAGCAACATCGCACTCCTGGGGGCCCTGTGGCCGGTGGGGCCAGGAGCTCAGTCCACAGCTAGACTCTGGCTGCGGGTGAGCGGGGCGTCTCCCGCACCAGGGCGCTGGCTGAATGGCTGCCTTCCCGGGCTGGGCTCTCTCGCCGGGGCTGGACATTCATTTTCCTCTTGTGGTAGTGGCTGTGCCTGTGACTTGCCTGCCTGCTCAGGTGGAAAGCAGGCAGGCGGATCCAGTTCTTGGCTAGAGAAGACAAAACCCAGCCCGATGAAAGAAAGAGGAAAAGGAAGCGGTCCTCTGTCAGCTGAGCTGCGGCGGCTTAAGTCTATTCACGTTCAGCGCTGTTCTCTCTTTGGCTGAGTGATAAAGACAGCAACTGTCTTCCCAGGGTCTCCGGATCTTGACGTTCTCCTCGGAGGACAAGCGGGGAAGGGACGACATGTATCTACTCTGCTCCTCGCGCCGGACAGGGGCGTGTGGCACAGTGGGGAGGAACAGAGTTTAGCCCTCCCTGCAGACCTGAGCTGAGCGCCTAACCCCCACCTACTTCTCTGGTTCTCCTGGGCAAGAACAGATAAAAGGAGGAAAAAAAAAAAAAAGAAGAAGGGAGGGAAAAGAAGAACCAACTACGAAAACATCACCTCCAGAGAACTCTTGACACGGTGAAAGTCATTCTGTTGTTCCCGGCACTTTCTGCCCTTCAAGGCAGTCCAAGGCCAACTGGCTTGGTTATCTAGGAGGCCCCGGCGACCCACTGTCCTGGGCTCCCCTCCTCTGTCCTCTGCAGAAGAGGTGGTGGTCAGGGACCCGGCGGCCTCCTGATGCACGCTGCAGCAGCGCTCCAAGACGCTGGGTCCCCTTTCCTTGAGTGGGGCTGTCTGCTCCAGGGAACCTAGGCAGCGGGCTCTTGTGTGCCCACGAAGTCAAGTGTCCCCGGCTGCTGATTCATTCCTGCTTGTAATCCCCCAGCCGGGCAGCTGTGGTCCTGCCTGCTCCCGGCGGATGCGTGCGCTCACAGAACCGCAGCAGAGTGCTTTGTCTGGAGGCTCCTGGGCTCCACGCTGCCGGCTGCCGGCCCCACAGCCCTCGCTCGCTCTCATAATGTCTGGCCCTCCCCCTCTCCCCTCCCCACCCTCCTCCCTTCCACGCTCAGGAAAATACATCAGGGATCGGACATCGGAGCAGAAGCTGCTGCTGCTGCCACCGCCCAGGGAGAAGGACACAGCAGCACAAGCACCAGAGCAAAATGACAGGTTCCCCGGCATCGCATGTCAGCCGACACATATGCGTATGAAAGGCGGAGACGGGGAGACTCTACCTGCCGCTCAAGGGGCTGGAAGCAGCTTATCGGGGACAGAGAAGGCACATTCCTACAGTTTGGGCCAACAGTTTCTAGGACAGCCAGAGAAGGGGACAGAGGAATGACACGGCCCTGAGGGCACAGCCCACAGGTGAAGTGACCGCCCCTGCCCCCACTCACCACGTAAGAAAGATTGTGCCTCCCTGCCAAGAGGATAAGCCATGGGGCGTCACAGAAACAGGCGATGAAATAAAGACGTTCCACCTAATATTCCTCAGGTGAGCAAGTGTACTCAACAACTTGGAAAGAGGCTTCTCTCTGGGCCCATCAGAGCCCAGGGGAGAAGCACCAGGCCCAGAACAGGCTCCTCACAATCTAGAGGAGGAGGGCGTGGGAGGGGGGCACCAAGGAAGAAGCCCGAACCCCAAGTACAGCTGTGAAGACAGAAAATGTAACATGTACAGGTACCACATGGCCCCCTCTAAACATGCTGGGGGACGCCTACAGCTCAGCAGACTATAGACAGCCCTGGTGAAGAAGGGGGCTCTGTGTGCAGGGAGATCAGGCCCCTGAGGAGCCTGCAGTGAACGGCTACTACAACGGCTGGCTTTAGCAAAAGAAAGCAAGTGATCTCTTCCGCTGCTCTACAGACAGGCCTTTGTTCAAAGCAGCCAGAGCTGCCCAGGCCAGTGGGAAGACTTCCCTTCTCAGGGCTCCAGACAGTGGAATGAGCTGTGAAACCTGTCTGTCAGGGATTCAGGTAAGTGGCTCCAGTGCTGGAAGCTCAGGTTCCTGAGGCCCAAGACAAGAATAAGACTCCAGTTCCAGCTAGGGTCTTGCCCTTCAGGACACACGCCTCTGTGAAACCAGGCACACTGGGCAAGCCTGGGCTTGGTTAATGGCTGCCTGCTGGCCGGCCGGCTCCTCCTCCTCCCAGGCTGGCAACCCCAGAGCCCACGCCTCCTCTTCCAGATCCAGAAACCTAAGGACAATCTGAACCCTGCTACTGACTATTCAGAACAAACGAGAACTCTGCTCTGATCCGAGGTGAAGGCTGGTGCTTCCTGAGGTCCTGGGGAAAACCCCCTCCCGCCCCATCAGGCAGAAGCCAGAGTTCACGGGCGGAGCTGAGTCTACTCTCCTATGCTTTCTGGCCTGGCATCGGCGCAGACACAGTGGGCTGGGCCTCTGCAGCACGGGCGGATGCCCTCTCTGTCCAGGTGGCCGTGCTCACCGGCCTGCCCTGGGCTCTCCCCTAAGCTGCTGTATGGAGGACGGCTCAATGCAGTGGTGCCAAAACAGGATCCGGAGACGCAGGGCGGTAGCCGGACCACAAACTCACGTGGGTTTGTGGGGGTAAGGGCTGGCTGGGACCCGCAGGGCAAGGAAAGATCTCCGTGTCACCACCCCCAAGGAGAAGGGCTCTTCCAGAAATGTGTTTTCCAGGATGCTGCCACATCTCCTGATTTATCAAGGTGGAGAGGTCATGGCCTGCTCTGACCCACACTCTCAAGCACATGCACTCCTCAGACACAGAGGGGTACAGGGAAGCAGAAAGCAGTTTCAGCTGAACTATCGATCCCATTCCTGGCTGTCCCCAAAGCACAGCTTTGAAAACTGGCAGCAGTGTTTGTCTCCGTACTGAACATCTATTCCCAACAAACACCTGACTCTCGATAAAAGCCCACACACCACAACAGACCGTGAGATTGTTTGCCTGAGTGTGGAGCCAGCACGTGGAAGCAGAGCCACAAACTCTTAGCCAGAAGAGCCACCTCTGCAGACCCCAGCATCATCCAAGACGGACTGGGACAGACCAAAGCGGGCTGGGGCCCCTCTGCTGGGAGCCAGGGCAGCAAGGCTGCTGGGGAGAGGAGGCTCCAGGAACCCAGCTGGAAAAGCAGTGGAGGGAGACAAGCTAGGGGAGATGCCCCCCGCTTCTTTAGGTTTTTCAATACGATTAGGTAATTATTTCATGGACAAAAGATGAGCAGTGCCACCATTTACCTCATCTGCTCAATTTTTTGTATCTAGGACTCATTCCCAACAAACCTGTGTGGTAGGTTCTATTATTTAGATGTTTGTAGATAGGGAACTGTGGGCTCAGAGGCAAGTAAGTGACTCGCCTAAGACCTGTATGTATCCAGAAGCAGTATCTGAACCCAGGGCTGAGCCTCCAGAGTCCACGCTCTTTCTACAAGCACCAAAGCCTCCGCAGCCCTTTTTCTCCCTGAGGTGCACACCTGTCTCCACCCATCAGCCTTCCTGACGGGGCCAGAGGAGCTAGAGGTGTCCCTTGGGCTAGGAGGCCATTCCTGGATGAAAGCTCTGGGAACCCCACCCCTTTGGTTAGGCATTTCTCCACGACGACGGGGAGAGGCCAGGCCCCTCTAAGCTGCTCTCAGCCTGGGAGTTCTGGTGGCAGGGGGTCTGCAGATGCTTGGGGGAAGGGGTGGGAGACTTGTTTTAGTGAGGAGGCACCTTTAGAAATGTGACCTCATCTGAGAAAAGTAACACAACCACAAATCTATTACCAAGGAAAACGACTCAGACATGGCCTCTCTAGCTGCCGGCTTCAAACAAAGGAAAATGGAGGCCAACCTCACCCCTAGGGCCTTGAAAAGAAAAGCAAGCCCAGACTGGCAGTGATCTGCAGTAAAAATGATGAATGACTAAGTAAATGGGAAAATGCAGAGAAAGACGTTAGGAGGAGCAGCAAAAAGCCACTCCCTCCAGGAGACACCCCCTAACGGTCTGACCCCACTGATAGAGGAGGCAAGCAAGAGCCCATTTCTCACGAAGGGTTAGTGCCAGAGCTGTCTGGGAAGCTGGAGAGACCAAGCTGAGGTGTACTCCAATTTAAGCCAATCAGAGACAGCCTACATTTACACACATAATTATGGATAAGTGACAACCATTAACTTTAAAACAAACCAACAAACAACAAAACCTTCCTAACAGGTGGGCCTAAAATGCAATTTCCCCTCCAATATGTAAAAAGTGTCATAACTCTGAAATAATAGCTCGGTGGGCCATATAGATCCATGAGGTTCTGACCTGCAGCAGCATGGGGTGGGTGGAGGCTGACCTCTCTCGCCCACCAAATGTCTGTCTTCTGGGTCAGAGAAAAAAAACCTGAGCCAGAAAGGAGCCAAAGGTCTGCATTCCATGGGGGAAAAATGGCTATTGGTACGATACCTGAGATCTTCTGCTGTTCCTGAGAAAAGTCAATCCCTTCGCCAATAGAGCTCATGATTTTCTCAATCTGAAACGGAAGAAAGAGGGACAAAAAGGAGAGGCTGTTAGGCTCGGGTTAAACATTGCCAGCTCATCATCAGCACCTGTGGCGGGGGTGTGAGGGCAGGGGAGGTCCTCCAGGTCTCTTCCAGATCATTCCAAGGTCCAGCACCAACCTGCAACAGATCAGAACTCTTTGCCGCTCAGATCAAGAGAGGCCCTTCTGTGACCACAGCCGAATGGGGGCAAAAGACAGGCTCCAAGGAGAGCGAGTGGGAGACCACCTGTGCTCAGCTGCTGGAAAGGCTGGCGAATCTTCCTTCCTTGGCATTTATGTATCACTCCCTGCGGCAGTTCCCCAGCCCAGCAGAGACAGGGCACAGGAGGCACCAGCAGGCCAGACCTGGCACATTTCACTGCTCACACCAGAATTTAAATTCCATGAGAGCAGAGACTTTGCCAACTTGGTTCCCTGTGACACCCCAAGTGCCTAAAGCCTAAAGCCATGCGTGGCAAATTCCAGCATTCAACAGATAATTGACATTTCCTGACTGCCAGCTCTGAGATCTGAGGATGATTTCGAGAGCTGAGACAAGCAGAGGACATGAACACGGGAGCCTCTCAGAAGTCAGAGTGAAACAGGCATACAACTCTGATCAGAGGATCTTTTGCTCCCTGAAGGTACAGACATGTATCCTTCCTCTGGATCACAGCAGACAGAGCGAGCCAGTCTCAAAGCATCCAAGGTCTCCAGCATTGCCCCCTGTATGGACCACCTGTTCCAGCCATCTGGCTTAGGTCACCCTGAGCCAGATCTAAGCCCCCCACTCCAGGAAAACTGGGCAGGGGCAGGGCAGGGCAGTGAGGAGGAGGCTACCTTCTCTCCTTCTCTTCCTCTCCTCCTCCTCCTCTTTTGGGTTGCAGTGATAATGAGCTCATTCATGGCTCTTTTTCTAAAAAAAAAAAAAAAAAAAAGGAAAGAGAACCTTTTGTTCCAGAGCTTGGATGCTTTTTCCTCTAAGTGCAAGTAAGGAGCCTAGGTCTGACAATCAAAAACAAAACAAAACAAAACAAAAAAACCCCCATAAAAACAAAAAAAACCACCACAACCAACTTTCCAGCCAGTCTCCAGCTGGCAGACAAAGATGGCACATTTGACACCCAGCAGAAGAACACATCTTTCCCTTCGCAGCCGAGAGCTGAGGCTGTTCTCCCGCCACAGAAATGCCTGCCTGCTCCAGCCGTCACCTGATTGCCTGTTAACATGCACTGTGAACTCCATTTCTGAGCTCAGCAAAAGCCAAGGGAAACACAACACAGCTGACCTACGGAGCAAGCTGCGGTGCACCTCGGCTTTACTGGCCCCACCGCTCAAGGGCCAGCACCGAAGTGGGCAACACTAGAGTGGGTCTGCCCTGCCCCTTGAAGAAACCACCTTCCTCCTTCCCTTCCTCGTACATCCCTTTCTTTGGCCTACCCCCCCCCCGCCCCCTTCCAAGAGCTGCCTCCTTCAACTGGTAGTTTGGTGCAAGGTCCACCCGTGAGGACAGGCAAGTACTTCCACCCTTTCCCAGCCTCAGTGTTACATCTACAGAAAGGGGAATGGGTCTTGCCTCCTATAAAGGGCTGTTGCGTGGATTGAAGGTAATCTGTGCTCACAGCAGATGCCCAGTCAGAGGCTCGTTTGCTTTCCATTCCCCCTCTGTTTCCCTCAGAACTCCAATGAGTAAAACCTCCTTATTTTTAAAGTTAAAAAAATACACTTTTACTTCTATTTTGTGACAAGTCCTCCATCTCCATGATTCAAGGTTCAAAAGGTACAAAGGTTACTCAGAGGAAAATCTCCCTGTCCCTGTCTAGCTCTCCTCCCTGCAGGCAACCAGTATAACCAGTTCCTCCAGTATGCTTCGAGATGAGTTGCAGTCTCCTGTGAGCAAACATGGAAAGATATCCTGCCCCCTACTGAGAGAGGCCGCCCATATATGCTGCTCTGTACCTTGCTTTCTCTATTTAATATGACATCTTGGAGATCCTCCACAGTTTATAAGAACATTCTTTTTTTTCTCCCCCAATGGATGAGCTGTGTCATCGGGTGTGGGGCTATTTATTTAGCCCATCCCCTGGTGGGCACGTGCATAGTTTCCAATCTTTCCGTATTCCCAACAGCGCCATGACGAACGCTGTTCTACAGACGTGTCTGTACACACGTACAAGTATATCTGTAGGATAAATCCTAGTTCTCTCCTGACAGTTCTTCCAGGCACAAAATCTTGAGTTCATGGCAGGGACCCCACAGGTCATACAATCCCATTTCCAACCCCCACGTCCGATTTTGCTAAAGGTCTTCCAGAGACGGGGCACTTGCTAACTCTCCCTGTCATTTCGCCCTCTTTGCAGAAAGCACCAATTTATAACATCAGTCTTTTCACACATCCGAAGCTTTCTTATCCAACTTCAAGCCACTGGTCTGGCTATTCCCCTAGAGCACCTCCTCTTCCTCAGGAAAGGCTTAGGAATATTTGCAGATAGCTCTTCCTATCTGTGGAGGGGCCAAGCCGCCCCTCCACCCCCAGCCACACTGGAGGACACTCAGCGCACAGGTCCCAAAGCCTGGTTCACTCAGATCACAGAAGCCTCCAAGCTGGGCAAAGAGCAGGCACTCCCTACATATCTGCTGATGTGCCTTCCTTGTCCTTCTCTATATTTATAGGAGAAAAATAGGGTGCTCAGGAGTGCCTGGATGGCTCCATCAGTTGGGTGTCTAATTCTTTTTTTTTTTTTTTTAAGATTTTATTTATTTATTTGACAGAGAGAGAGAAATCACAAGTAGGCAGAGAGGCAGGCAGAGAGAAGGGGAAGCAGGCTCCCTGCTGAGCAGAGAGCCCGATGTGGGGCTCAATCCCAGGACCTTGGGACCATTATCTGAGCCAAAGGCAGAGGCTTTAACCCACTGAGCCACGCAGGTGCCCCTGGGTGTCCAATTTTTAATTTCAGCTGAGGTCATGATCTCAAGATCCTGAGATAGGGCCCCGGGTCTGGCTCTGTGCTCAGTGGGGAGTCTGCTTGAGAGTCTCTCTCTCCCTCTGCCTCTTCCCCTGCTCATGTTCTCTCTCAAATAAATAAATAAAGCTTAAAAAAAAAAAAAAAGTAAGGTCCTCAAAGTGAGAAAACTTTTTCCTATATGGGGGCAGGGAGAGAGGATGGGTCCTTATCCCTGGAATGGTTCCACCAGGCTATGGGTCTATCTTTGAGGCCAAAGAGGGTGTATGTGGGAGAATGACCACTGTAAGAACCATGAGGGTTGGAAGAAAGTGTGGTTTACTTGCCATTTTCCTCCTGGTCCTGGTTTTGGTTAAACAGGCAACTTACTGAATGAATGAAAGGAAGTGGGGATGGGGGAAGTTTCCATTTACTTAGAGCCGGTAGTGGAAAAGCTGTTTTCCCAATGCCAGCAGGGGGGAGAGCTGAAATGGAGGATGACCCCAAGGTAGCTTTTCATATAAAGTCAACTCACCTACAGTACACGTTTCATTGTCCTCATAATCACCCGAAACCCAAAGCACCAGCGGGCCTAACCAATCAACATCTCCTGGCCCAACTCAGGAGATTTTGCCAAAGGGCCTTTTGAAATCACAGTGAACAGAGTAGAACACCCCGCTGCTTCTTCGTTCTGTTCCTTCCTGCCTGCCTGGCCCAGTAGTCACCCTCACACCAACTACAAAGGGCCAGGCACGGCCCACATTTCCACAACCCACCCTCTGGCGGGGTACGCAGGGACGCTCACAAATGTTTCATCGAAACTATACATGATGCTTTGCTGTCCTGTAACTGTAGTATCTAAGTCAAGCTGAGAAGATTCTAGTTTATAGAGGAACTGGGAGTACTCAGCAGTTTACGGACAACTTACAACCCAGCTCCCCTTCCTGCCCTGGTGGAGACACAGGGCTAGGAGGGACGCGGCAGTGAGGAGGTCCTGTGTGAGCACAGACTGGCAGGTGTCCGGCCTCACTCCGTAAGCACCGAGCTGTCTGGGGCTGTGATCCTACCCAGCGCCTCCGCCTGGGCTGGGGAGACGGCGAGAAGCTGGATCTCATCTTCTGGCTCGGCCACACCCTCCATGGCCCAGAACCAGCGGAGACAGAATACCATAATCTCAGTCTAGACAAAGAGGAGTGAGCTGTCAGAGAAAACAGATACCATTTTGATCCATATACTTTGTGTAGTTTCACCATTTACGCTTGAGTTAAAAAAAACCCAATCTGATCAGGCTGTTTTCCCAGAAATGTTCTGCATCTCAGGGGAGAAAGAGGCAGATGGAATGTCACGGAAGGGCACTGTTCAATGCTCTCTTTTCTGTTGTGTAGGATCAGCGACATCTTGGGGGAGAGATGGACAAAGCCCGCACTTTACTCCTGTACTTCACATAAACTCTACAGGGAACTTCTGTTTGTGTTTGGTAAAGTAAGGCCTGAAATTTATCACTGTAATGGATACATGTATTTTAAAAATGCTTGGAAGTGCTCCATTTTCAGAATGCATTCAGGGTTATTCTATTTAGTCTCTCCCTTCCCACCCCTGCCACGAATGTATAAAACACATTCCCCATGTGGCTGGAAGCTAGAAGAAACACAAACACTCGAGACACAGCTGCTGAGGTGCCAGGACTGCTGACAGGTGCCTGGATGACCAGAGGCTGGCAGCAGGAGGTGACAGTCTGTCTACAGACAAAGAGGCCTCCATTCCCTGTCACTATACCCTGGCTTCAGGAACAAATCTGATCACACTAGCCTTTTCACTGGCTATCAAGAGTGAGGGAAGGGAGAAGACAGCTGCTGGGGGCAGAACTACTTCTCCAGGCACAGAGTCCACAGAAGAACCATGAGCCTCGATGCAACTTGGCAGCAAGGCCTAAGTGAAACCTCCCTTCCAGAAGGGGGTACAAGTTAGACGCAATGGCTATGTTCAGGGGCTCCCATATGTAGCCAAATACTGGGAGAGCAGTAATCAGTCTGGTCAACATGCCTGTAA